CTCAAGACAAGTTGATATTGTCAAGACACGATCTGGTTGTCTAAAGAATAAAAGCATTTACGTTTTTACCAACTTGATGATTCTGTACCAAAATATTAATTGACAAATTACTCGCTACAGCTAGGCAATGGAGTTTAAGTTAATTAAATTGTATGAGGTTTTTGATGTGTTCAATTGCAAAAAGTAATGATACGAGGAGGTAGGCTAACTTTTTCAGATAATGAACTCTTACTGTACTCTCGTTGTCTTCATCTAGCCTACAATAGTCACTTGGTCTGTAGTCTAATTGTAGGCCTAATGTAGCCAATAGTTCTGTAGTCATCTAGTCTAGTCACTTGATCTGTAGTCCGCTTGTAGGCCTACTGTAGCCAATAGTTCTGTAGGCATCTAGCCTATATTAGTCACTTGGTCTGTAGACATCTAGCCTACATTAGTCACTTGGTCTGTAGTCACGTGACTCTGTACATAGTCAACCAACTTACGCCAACAAAAACTGACTTGTCGACTATTGATTTATCGCCCCACACAACACTGCTGCATGCTGCCATTGTATTGCTCCACCTTAAAGAACCCGGTGGTGTTGTCTTGTGTTAGACTCGTACATTTTGTTTCAGCGCTTTAAGAAAATTTTAACAAAACTTTTTTTATTTGTTGGATTTTATAAGGCGGGTTAGTTACTAAATATTATTTCTGATTTACTAAATAAAGTGTGAACATATCATACGTTTGTTTTACATTTCGAAAAACGATTTATGCTGGAAACTTCTAAATTAATGCCACTATATTAAAATTAGATTAAAGGTTAATGCCCATGGGAGGCTTAAGTCAAATTAAAACGCAATAAGTTCACGGATTCTGACTCCTGGTACTGTAATTACTTAAAGATTACTCCAATACGTCACGATACTAAAACTTAAACTAGTTGGATGTGAAATAAAGTTTAGATATCTTAAAGATTTTTACCACAGCAAGAGCTGCCATATAATTCAGTATGTTGTTACTGCAGTAACCTAAATAACTCAAGTAACTTTGGTACTGTAATAACTTTAAGGTAACTACAAAATATTTTGTGGCATTATTCTGATAATGAAGACTTTAGAACATATATTTTTGCTAGACATCTCCAATAATTTTCGGCATTCTATTATCCGACAGGTAACTACTACACAAGCTCAAAAGTTGATGTTGATTCTCGTGACTGAATGACATTACGATGTTTCAGAGGCCAAACTTGGTTCTAATTCTGCTGGGTAAGTTGCTAATGTAGTCTATTTAATAAACAAGGGTAACATTACTTTAGAGTAGTGGTTCTTATCCTAAGTTCGATCGAACTCCAGGGGTTCGTTGAGTCAGTCTCAGGGTTTCAGCGGAGGTAAAGACACATACCCGACTTATATTAGATTTTGTCAGTGCGGACAATAGATTTACTAAAAAGATTTGGCGAATGCGCATATGAACCTGGTGGGGTTCGGTACCTCCAAAAAGGTTAAAAACCACTGCTTTAAATGTATACAATAAGCGACTGATCATACATTTTTATGATAAATAGAGGACGTTTTAGAATTGTTTTTCTTTTAGGCCTTGGTATAGCCATTTTATATCAAACTGTGTATTTTGGTCGCCACGGATACGAGTTTAGTGTACCCCGGGCACGAGTCCGTAAGACGTCCCTCAGTCCACCTAGCTCTGCTGGGTACATGACTCACGTTAGGGATATTAAAGGCGGCTGGGCATAGTGCTGACCACATTATCACTTCATACCCAAAGGTAAATGTTACAGTTGAACTCACTGACCGTAAGGTTAGACAGGGAACTTTACTAGATTCAAGTTTAAAGTGTGAACTGATGCCAATCTTCTTGTATTTATCTCCTGCTAACCACGGTGAAATCTAAAATACTCTTGAATGGGGCTCACACTGAGTTTGACGTTACCCCCCCCCCTCCCCTCCCCCCCCCCCCCCCCCCCACACACACACACCACCACACCCCCAACCAAGCAGATAGTGACGTGGATAATCCCGCCACCCAGACCAAATAGCATGAGCCAGAGATTTAACCTGTCTGGTATGAAGAAGGAAATCAAACATGATTAAATTTAGCATATCGATCCTCAATCACTAACTGTGTAGAGTAAAAGATCATACTTTTGACAGTTAAGTAATTACATTTTTTAAAATAACCTGGTTAATTGACTTTTACAATTATGTATTAACTTTTTTTATCTCTTAATTTTTAGTTTATTAATGTATTAAGTAAATAGTTTATTTCAGGATTGGGGAAAGGTGGAGGGACAGTACCCCATAGACGAAATGAAACTATATGTAATTTTTAGAAAAAATATATCAAAAGTCGTCCACCCACTCCACCCCCCACCCTGGAGGTTTTAAGAGCTCCTCCCCCACCCTGAAGGTTTTAAGTGCCTCTCCCCACCCTGAAGGTTGTAAGAGCCCCCCCCCCACCCTGGTTTTAAGTGAACCCCCCTAAAGGTTTTAGTGCCCCATCCTGGTTTTAAGTGCCCCCCCCCCCACCCTGAAGGTTTTAAGTGCCCCCATCCTAAGGTTTTAAGTACCACCACCCTGAAGGTTTTAAGTGCCCCCCACCTTGAAGGTTTGGTTTTAAGTGCCCCCCCCCCCCCCCACCCTGTAGGTTTTAAGTGCCAAACTCTGAAGGCTTTACGTGCCCCACCCTGAAGGTTTATAAGCTCCCTCTGATATTGTATTGTATTGTTCCTCTCCCCAGCACTGTCCTACAATGTCGTACACATTTTCACGCAAGACCCGCCGGCGTTTGTCGCCATTGAAGGGGCAGACAACAACAAATACTGGCTCTCCAGTTTCAAAGACAACTTTTTCAACGCTCGTAAGTTCTGCACCAGCATTGGGTCAACGATGCCGATGTTTGAGTCAAACAGCGACCTGGATCAAGTCCTAGTCAACCTGAACACCAGCATACGCCAGCTGTGGTTAGATCTTGGCGTTAGGGACGTCGAATCCTGCAGTCAGTACTGGCTGCTGAAAGAGGAACTCAATGCCTCGTTTTTGCCCAGCAAAGACAACGACGATAACAGAAACGATGGTTCGTGTTACTATGTCCTGTTGCCGATGAAGAAGATTATGTTTCTTGAAGACGATTGCAACGAACGTTTATATAACTTTATGTGTAGATTTAATAGTAATATTTCCGAGGCTGTATTTTGCAAAGTCTCGAATAACTGCAGCCATCTTTGTCAAGATGTGTTTCCGGGTTACATCTGCGCATGCCCAGAAGGGTTAGCTCTATCGTCAGATAATAAAACCTGTGTGGATGTAGACGAGTGTCAGAGCTCATCTTCAAACTGTTCCCATCTTTGTGTTAACACTCACGGATCCTACCACTGCGCATGTCCAATTGGGTACTCTCTACACGGAAACACCTGCGTGGATGTTGACGAATGCGAGACTTCTCCATGCCCGTCCCCTGATTCATACTGTCACTCAATTTGTATCAATACAATCGGTAGTTACAAATGCCTTTGTCAAAAACCAGACTTAAAAACAAATTTCGATAAATGCCCATGTTCCTGTAATCAACCATTGACAAAGTACACATCAATGGTTGAAGAATTTAACCTCAAGCTGAAAAAGTCCAAGTTATCTTCTTACCATCGTGGACTAACCAGCACTGACGACCCGCGGACGTCCGCTGTTGCTATTGGTTACTTGGGTGTGCTAGTCCTGATTTTGTGCGCTGGTTGTGTGGTTCTACTGGACATTCACAGCCGGCTGTATCCAGCGTATGATCCTCAACTCACTCGCCTGAGTACAACACGAGACGATTCGGTTTCTCCTGAACCAAACGAAAACGAGTAATCTCTAATGGGATTTTCTTCCGTCCGTGAGTGTTTGTAGCACAAATGTCGTTTATTCATCTAGCGACTCTAGGATTGTTGCCGGGATTCTTTTAGACATTTTGTTCTGTGGTGGTGGGGGTGACAGAGTTTCTTTCAAGCATCTCTTTGCCACACCCTCTCCTCCCACCCCACCCCCAAAAAACACGTCCACTGAAAATATATTAAAAATATATACTTTAACCAGTGTCCTTCCATCTTTGGAGAGATGACATACCTGAAAGAAATACTGCGCTTTTAATAAACTTTGTTATAGGGAAAAGGTACCAAAAAATAAATAAAAAATAAAAAGTATTAAAAATGGTTGTTTTTACTTTCTCGTATACTAAGCATAAGATAAGTATTGGAAAGTTGCAAAAATAGAAATCGAGAGTTTGTCATGCATGATATATACTGTCATGTGGTAGTGGTTCAGTTTTTGTCATTTCTGATGGTGTGAATGTTAAACGTCCTCACAAAAAAATCCTCAGACATGTATCGATGTTAAGTAGCCATTGACCAAACAGCTTATACTTGCAGTAAAAAAAACTGCACACATATGCTAGCACACTACACACATATATCATCAAACTTCAAACATATGCTAACACTACACACACATGTCATCACATTACACATATACGCTAACACACTACATATATGCCAAAACACTACACACGTATACCACAACACACTACACATATACCAAAACACTATACATATATGCCAACATACTACATACATATGCCAATACATTACACAAACACAAATGTATTCTCCAAAAAATAGACAAGAATACAATTTATATTAGCCAATAAACGACAACGCCATCTTTCAATTTTTAAAAAATCCTCTAACGTGTAGTAATGTTAAGAAGCAATAGACCAAACAGCTTATACTTGTAGAAAAACACTACACATATATGCCAAAACACTAGACACATACCAACACACTACACACATATGCCAAAACACTAAACATATATGCCAACATACTAAATACATATACCAATACATTACACAAACACAAATGTATCCTCCAAAAACTAGACAAGTGACATCTACAATTTATATTAGCCAATAAACGAAAACGCCATCTTTCAATTTAAACACAGAAAAAAATCTTTTCACTGAGATAGATGTTAATATGCACCAATACATTCGTATAATAAAACCAACACAAGTATGACAGTATTCTTAAAACACTCATTGTTGCTTATTAAACTTGATTTTACAGATATTTTTATTGGCTTGTCTCATCACTCAATTGTTTCTGTTCAATATCTTCAAAACTTATCGTATGCAAGCACTCATGGCGATCCACTGAGGACCCGTGGCGAATGATTTCCTCTTGGTTGTCTATGGTGTGTTCCGGACACTCCACGCAGCTCATGTAGTCTTCTAGCGTGCAGTGGAACATCGCGTGCGTCCGTCTGTGGAGGTCCCTCAGCTCCTTTCTCCAGTGCCAGGGAAGTGACGTCAGCATGATCTTGTACACCTCCCTGTACTCCATTCTGAAGAACGCGTACACCGGGGCATTCACCAGCGAGTTGATAAAACTGATCAACATGGCGGAACAGTACGCGATTTCCATATCAACCGGGTTGATAATTTTTAGAGATTTTATCAACGAGACAGCTAAAAACGGAAGCCACAGGATAATAAATAAAAACATGAGTACGATTGTTATGTGTATGTTACTGACACGGAGAAAAACGTTTAAAGTACTATTTCGGCGGGGAAGGCTGATGCTGCTTCGTCGTTTCCGTTTATTCCGAATGGTGCAGGCGATACGAATATTCAAAATAAGCGACGTGACAATGCACCCTAGGGCAACGACTACAACGATCCACAAGATGTATGCTAGAGGCAGTACGTTGGTGAAGCTACATCTCTCGCTCAGTGGCATAACTTTATCGTCGTACTGATTGTATCCCAAAAGAGGAATGAACGCCAGAACCACAATATACAACCAAAACACTTGCATGCAGTGAACTGTACAGCTGACGCCGATCTTGGAATAGTAGTGTAGCGGCCACATTATAGCGAAGTAGCGGTCTAACGAGATGAACATTAAAGAGTAGAGCGATCCCCCTGCACAAAGCACCATAGAAGCGAACCTCGTTAGACAAGTATATTTATGGGAGAAAACATAGTCCTTCGTAAGCGGCAGGCTGCTGAGTACGTAAAAAGGCAGTCCGAAGATCCCCATAAGGAAGTCAGCAATGGCTAGGTTCATTAGAAGAACGTTGATACTGGTGTAGAAGCCGGGGTACAGGGTCATCCCACAGAAAATCATAATGTTACAGATGATGATGGGCGGCATGATGCCTAGACAAATATACGAGGAGATTCGATAAGCTTTTGCTATGCGCTCCTCCTCCAAATGGCTGATAGGGATGTAGGTGTCAGCAAGGATGTCACCGATGTCGAACTCTTCCTCCATCGTGTCAGTTCTAGCCGGAATCTCTCTCGTGTATAACTGTGTGTTTCCTGTCAAACTTGGTGATCGTATTCACAACACTGAGTAGTGTATGCATTTCAAGATTTCAGCTTCGGGGATATGCTTACAAACCTATGTTTAAAAAAAAGAATAAATACCATATGTATTATATATATATATATATATATATATATATATATATATATATATATATATATATATATATATATATATATATATATATATATATATAATACGGTCTAAGTCCGAAGTCAGCCAATGTGCGTATTGGCCAATATAACCTACCATTGACCGGCCGAAGTCCTTATTAGAAGATCATGAGCAGTCTGTAGGTTATTTTTATACCATTATGATCATGAAATAAGGTCTTTATTGATTATTAATTAAAGTAAATGACAGAAACATTCGAACTATTTACGAACCTTTATGTTATGACATTTAGAAATACATAGTAGCTTGTTTTTACACCTTCAGCAAATGTGAACTGTGACCAATGAATCGTGGTCTAAAGATGAATATTTACTTTACGATTCATGCAAATGTTCTCAAGATCTTCCTCGGTAACTACGTTATCGACAGTCTCTCTTGAAAGAATTGAAGTATTTTTTTTTACACCCAAGCAAGGCTTCGTGTGGCGACGTTTGAATTTATTAATGAAAATAAAGGTTTTTCATAAATTGAATGCAGAGTTTCTTCCAGGCATCTCTTCTGGTATTTATATAGTAAACATATACTTTTTATAGTGTCCGCCCTCTATATGATCACTTGGCATTTTGGGGTAAATTATTTACATATCAAAGATTTGGAATTAGACAATTTAGACTGACGTGATGTACACAGGTGGAGAAACATAAAATAATTAAACGCCATTAAACCGTAGCCTACATCGGACATTGGCCAGGGAATCCCGGCCAGAGAGCGCATTGGCCAGCCAATGTACAAAATACATTGTCAATTTTAAACTCTTATGATATTGGCCAAGAGAGCCAGCCCATATGTGCACATTGGCCGCCACTTGGTACTTATATACCGTATTGGTTCCATTTTTTAAATCACTTATCCCGAGCGCATTTAACGAAATTGATTATTCTAGTGAGCGTAGGCCTACTAAGTACATTAGCCATGAATAGTTGTCCTATGTCTGTTAGACTCAAGGTATTATACTAATTACTAATTATACTCTATACCAATCTATACTTACACTTAATACTAGATTACACCTAATAATAATAATAGGCTAATTCTAGTATGTGTCGGTGGCTTAAAGTATTTTTTCTGTGATTATGTTTTAACTCATAACTAGAGAAACTTACAAGCTCTTTCGTGATGGCTGAACCCTGGAACACTTTGTATTGAACGGCTCAAGAAAATAAAAATGTATATTATTTCTATATCGAATATTGCAGTACTATTGAACACAGCAAGGTTCATTCACTTCCTACAGGGAAATAAGTGTGGATTTATTGCGCACCTTTTATTTGTAAAAAAAAATTCCAGATAGGAATTTGTATTTTTCTTACGCATGATGGTGTGCTTTTTCATTCGTGTGATTTGTTTCTGACATTCTCCATTTCTGTTCCCAGTTAAAGTACCGTGTTAGAATTAATAGAGTTTCTTCCAGGCATCTCTTGGGGGGGGGGGGGGGCCCTCCCCACCGAAGAAAGTCTACAGCCCCCCCCCCCCGAAAATATCAAGTGCCTATCCCACCCCCGGAGAAAAAAGTCTGGTTGAAACACGAAACACTGAGGATTAAGTAGATTCTAGTATGTTTCTAGTTAGTTAAGAATAAAGTCGCCTATTGCATGCGCTCGAAATTTATAACCGTTGTTCAATGCACTAGGGGGTCGTCCATAAATGACGTCACACTCGTAGGGGGGAGGGGGGGGGGGTCCGCAATGTTGTGACGGTGTGTGATGAGGGGGAGGGGGGGGGTCAGATGGTGCGACGTCACACTTTTGCATTATAAAAAAGCAATGTTAGAAAACGAATTTTAGACGTTATTTTGCGTTTTAGAAAACAATTGATTAAAATACTCTATTTTGACAGAGTTCAGACAAGATTTTGGAAAAATATAGCTGTTTAAAAAAAATTCAACTGCAATTTTGAGGAGGGGGGGGGGTTGTAGGCTGAGGTGTGACGTCATTTTAGGGGGGGGGGGGGTCTGGCTTTTTGTGACGACGTGTGACGGAGGGGAGGGGGGAGGTAAAAATCGTCAAAAAAAGCGTGACGTCATTTAATGACATTTATGAATGACCCCCCTAGACTAGAATGCAACATAAATTAAAATAATTTAAGGCACTGAATCATCTTGGGTATTCGATACATGTTTTGTTGTTTGTTTATTTTCATACTTGTATTTCTAATGAGATAGCAAATATGCGCGTCAGGTTCTCAGTATAGAATATAGATCGATTTAAATGTTGAGTAATGTTATTTTTTTTCATTAAAATCTTTCTCCGTTGACAAAAAAACACGAATTTGTTTTTAAATTTGACTTGTTACCGGAAGTCTCACGTATGAAACTAAAAGTAGCATGATACTCATTGATACTTGAGTTGATAGCCTACTTGACAGTGACAGAGTTTGGTAAATCAATTTCTCATTTTATATTCTTGCATTACATTACAATATAGTAGTCCACTATCAGCTAGGCCTATATAATAATAATATAGAGTGACATAGCCTACTCACCTACTCAGACCTACTGTACTGACACCTGTCTGTTGTTGTGTTACTGTTCCTAGTATTCCTACTGAATAGGGGGGGCCTACTGAATCTGAATCAAAAATGAATCAGCTGTGAATGAATGTATGTAGATCTAGATCTAGTATGTAGTAATGAATAGCGATCTACTATTGAATAGACCTACTGACTGAGAAATAAATATTACATACTACTGAAGTGAATAGTCTAGTCAGAATAGGGATAGCCTACTTACTACTTAGGCTACTACTACTGAACTGAATAGTGAATTCACTGAATAGGCCAATCTGAATCTACCTTAAATCTTAAATTCTTAATCCTTTATTTAGGCCTTTTACTATTTAATACTATTATCTTTGTAGGCCTATTGACTATTATTACTATTTATTTAGCCTAGGGCATAATGTTACTCGGCATTGTATTTTATATCAATTTTGTATAATTATAAATATAGTTGATTCAGTGTGTTTAATTAAACTAATAAACTTTAACTGTTTTTTTTCTACAGATTTAGGTCTACAGTTTTCAAATCTAATATCAAAAGGCTCGCTTTGTTTTGATCAGCACTGAAAAGGTATTAAATTATGGCGGCTTCAGTCACAGAGATTTCTGAGGGGTTGGCTAAAGTAGTCCTTCCCCAATCAGTTTTTTATAATCCTGTCCAGGAGTATAACAGAGATTTGACCATAGCTATAATATCAGAGTATGCAGAGCAGCACTTTAAAAAGCTCAGGACTAAATGTAAGAAGAAAAAACTTTCCACTGACCAGGAACCATCAAATCTGGAGGAAGATGGGTTGGACCAGACTCAGACAGATCTTGTGTTGGAAGCTGGGAAACAATATGAGGATGGGATAACCATCTTTGAAGGGCTGGCTGCATCTGGCTTGAGGTCTGTGAGGTTTGGACTTGAGATTCCTGGTGTGAAAGAAGTTTTAGCTAATGATTTTGACCAGAATGCTGTTTCATTTATTGAAAAGAACATAGAGAAAAATGGGCTTGAGAACATTGTAAAGGCAAATTTAGGTGATGCTGCTATGGTTATGTACGAGCATAGGCAGATAGAAAAGCAATTTGATGTGATAGATTTAGACCCATATGGAAGCCCAACCATGTTTCTTGATGCTGCTGTTCAGTCTGTGACTGATGGAGGGCTGCTGTGTGTCACCTGTACAGATGCTGCCGTCCTATGTGGAAACGCATTAGAAAAGTGTAGTGCCAATTACGGGTCCATTTCCCTCCGCTCAAAATTCTGCCATGAAATGGCTATTAGGATAATTCTTAACTGCTTGGACTCCCATGCTAATCGCTATGGAAGATACATTGAACCATTGATATCTCTTAGCATAGATTTTTATTTTCGGGTTTTTGTAAGAGTTCATACTGGACAGAAGCAGGTCAAACACTCTGCAACTAAGAAGGCAATGGTGTTTGAATGTGTGGGCTGTGGCAGCTATACTTTACAGCCTATGGCTGTGGCGCTCCCTGCTAAGGGGGAAGGAAACTTTAAGTTTATCCCAGGTTCTGGCCCTACTGTACCCCAAAGCTGCCCACATTGTGGACATCAGCACAGAGTCGGGGGCCCTATCTGGTCCGCACCTTTGCATGATACAGAATTTGTGAAGAAAATTATTGAACGTGCGCAGAAGGGAAGTCTTCAGTTGAAAACAGCAGACCGTATAGCAGGAATGTTGAGTGTGGCTCTTGAAGAATTACCAGATGTCCCACTGTTCTATGTGCTAGATACAGTTTGTGGCATATTGCATTGCACACCTCCCAACATGATTAAATTTAGGTATGTGTTGTTTTTCTGTTTGTTTTTAACTGAGTAACTTATTATTTCTTTGAATCTAAAATCCTTTTATCAGTTTGAAGGTTAAAGTTTTTTTTGGTATAGTACTTACTGCTTTTCTTATTTTGTAGGTCAGCTTTGTTAAATGCTGGGTACAGAGTATCCCTGTCACATGCTGCTAAAAACTCTTATAAAACAGATGCTCCTGCCAAGTTTGTTTGGGTAATTTTAAATGATTCTGCTGCATCTTTTATGTTTTTTTAAATCTGTTTTATGTGTGCATTCATATTTTAGCATTACTAATGTGTAAATATATTTTAAAAAGTAAAATTTATTTCAGCATCTTTGAATCATATCTTGATCATTTTCATTCTTGAATGAAACAGTCTAAAACCTTTAACTTAAATCTGCAGGATGTTATGAGGACCTGGGTAAAGGACAATCCAGTCAGTGAAAAAAGAAGAACACCTGGCTCTGTGGCTAAAGCTATTCTTGACCAGCCGCCAGAGTATGTTATATCTTTCACAGAACATCCTGATGCTAACCCTCAGTCTCGAGAGAAAGGACTGCTGAGGTGGCAAACTAACCCTGAACCTTGCTGGGGGCCAAAAGCTAAGGCAAAGAGAGCTTTAAATGTTGATTTAGCAGAAAAGCGTGCAGCAAATCAGGGCAAGTCTAAAAAGATGAAATCGTAGTCTGGTTTACCAGTGTATTTTTAATAAAATGATTATAGTTGATGATAAACTAGTGAATTTGTATGTACTGAATGCTCTGTATATTTATATACTATACTATCATGTTGTTTTGTTATGGATCATTAATTTTCATAATAAACAACTGAAACTTATACTTCCTTTGGTTTTGTAATGTTGTTTGGGAACATTGTGATGCATTTTGCTATTGCTGCAATGTATCTATTTTAATGATGAGGAGATGAAAAAGTAGAATCTAGCAATACAGTATGGCTCTACAGGTGTGTCCAATCCACCCCCATTTGTGTTTTTACACCAGAAGTTGGGTTAATACAGTTTTAAAAAAGAATAAGTTTTACAAAATAGTATAAACAAACAAGACAATTTTTAAAAATTTTATTGAATAAAGTATCAAGTTAACTTAATGATCACGTGTTGAATACTTTTCGTAGCTTAAGTTAAAAGACATGTTTTGACCTTGAATCAGTGCTATGATTTTAGAGTTTTTTAAAAGATTGACAACATATTTTTTGAAACTTTATCTTTACCAACTTTTAGTGAAATATAAGCATTGCATTTCACAACTGATACGTCAAAATTAAAATCTTTTTATGTAATCAATTACACTTCATCTAGAGGACAAGATAAATGTATGAATGAGTCATATGAAGTTTAAGAAAGAATTCCACCAATTTAAAAGCTATTAAATTAAAGCTCACAATGGTATAAAAGTACATTTCTTTAAAAATAAAAGAAGAATTATCAGATTTAAAGTATATTAAAGTAATATCAAGTAAAAGAATTATCACAATATAATAATGCTTATGTTTTAAAAGAAATATTTATATACACAGGTGATTGGCAACATATGCAACATTATCCCCACATATAAAAAAGTTTAAACTATTTTATCACAGCTTCTGGTTAATTTGTACAGTAAAAAGTAAAGATAAAAACATCAAAGTAAAATATTCTCTATACATTAAACACTTTATACAGATTTACATTGTTGCTGTTAATTATATAATTACTCATTGTTTATCATAAAAGTAATTGTTAAATCTCATTTATTCTGAAGTTAACATGCAAACATTCTATTTAATATCTCTGGATAGATAAATTAATTAACATATTGATTGGTGGCACTCCATGAACTTCTCCATACTAAGAGTTTACTCATTGTGATTATTATAATTAAAATATTTCATTTGCTAGATGAAACTGTAGTTTTTTCTCTCACAGAAAATGTCCATCCATGTGCTTATTTATCAAGAAAATATAATCCATTACTTTAGCAGCACAAGTCTTTGATTTCTATTATTTAAACAAATTAAAATAGAATACATTTTTATCAATATCTAAGAAGCAGATAGTTTGTCCTTTTCTTCAGGCTTTTCTTGACTGTCTTCAGCATTCTGTACTGTTGTTCCTAAAATACTTTCAATGTCTGCTATAGCACTCTGTGAAAAGTGGAACCATATATTTTTATTATTTCAGGAGATGGTGTTTAAAATTATAGTAATAGAAAAGAAAATAGACATTTATGTCACATTTACAACAGCAAACAAATGGTAGTCGATTGAATTTATTAGTGAATTTGTGTAATTTAGTGCTCCAGTAGCAATTCAAGTTCATTCAGGTAAAAGGAAATGTGTTTAAAATCTTACTATACTTTACATGCTACTATATTTTAGTATGTAAGCAGTCTTTACTCTTATATTAGTTATCATGCATGTATAATTACAGAAAGTAAGATGCAGATTATGTGCAAACAGTTTATTTTTTAAAAATTTGCCCAGAATTCACATCAAACACCAAATTGTTGGCAGAATATATTTTTATGTTGTGTAGTGCCCCTTATAAAAATCTACAAACTTGTTGAAGTATGTGTTTTACAGTAATGTTAGCAGCAGTTACAAACCTTAAAGTTGGTCACTCCCTGCATATTTGGTGCAGATATTTCCTGATGAATGACTGACAGATTGCGAGCAAATGTGGCTAATGCCCCTTGCAGGTTATCCCCAACAGTTCTATAATGTAATCAACAGATAAAATGGCTGCTCTTAGACTTTTAAATCAACAGATAAAATGGCTGCTCCTAATTTTATAGTTAAAAAAATTCTATTCAATCAAATTATTATTTTTGAAGTAGCCACGTGGGCATTAATTTACTTCACTACTTTGTTGTATATTTTTACATGAAAGATTTCACTTACAACATTCCTAGCCGCTCTCTATTAAAACTGTCGACAAGGGTAAAAACTGTTCCAGTTTTATCCTTCAATTTAGAAAAGAAAAGAATACAGTTAAGGAAGTCATATAGTCCAAAAATGTTTAAAATATATATATTTTGCAATCCATAACGATATAAATATTTCTGAATACTTTTTCAAAAACTAATTAAGATATAAATTTTAAGTTTTTATTTTTATCATAAGATTCCTTGCACAGATTATTCAAGCCAAAGCATACTTTAATGTCATATCCTATTCCATGTGCTCGACACATTTGAAAGAAAACACTGTAGTGCACAACTGACAAATTTGTATGTAACAGCCTCGTACTCATTACTGCATATCTTAAGTTATTGGCTTTTTGCTGAAAAAACAAGACAATTGTAGTTCAATGTAATACAAAAATGCAGTTTCTTTATTATTCGGATGGTAAGATTAAGAATTTGTTTTATTAACACCAATTTAATATTGAGAAGCAAGGTTAAAATTAATTAAATTACATCATCCTCTTGTCCAACTAATCTTCTTCTACGAGGTTTGTCTGTGTTGGGCAGCTGAACCTCGTACACGTGAGTCTTTGACTGGAACGTTCCGTGTGTCACATATGCCATTAAACTGAACATTGCCAGATTGTCACTATAGTGCAAACATAAATCAATGGCCCATATTTTCTGGTCCATCTAAAAAAATATTTATATGTAATTTTACAGAAATTTTTTAGAATAGTACATTAAATAGTCAAATAGTTAATGAAAGCATAACTTTTTAAAAATTTGATGTATTATAATGATTTAAAATTTAATAATATAATTATGTTTTTGCTGGACTTAAATTAATATACAATCAAATGAAGGTTACGATGCTCACAATTAGCCCTGTTGAGTGTGATTTCAATTTTTTTATTTAAAAAACTTGTGACTTACTGTTTTGGGGTCAATGAAAGTGACCAAATCAATTCTCATATATCCCATGATTCCCCTAGTTTTGCATGCTTCAGCGATCCTGTTGCAGACAGCATTGACATCAGATGGTTCAGTGGAAGACTGAGGTACAGAGAGACCCCAACAGGAGAACTGGCTCTCAGCGTGGACCTGGTCACCACAGGTCAAGATGTTGACTAGTCCTGAGGGCTCTATCAGCAAATCAGCAGTAAGTGTTGTTATGTTTTCAGATGGGGGGCAAGCTTCAATTATGCCACCTGTGGGATGCAATATTAAATACTGGTAACATAAATTTTTTTACACAGGGTTGTTTTTTTCAAATTTCATATTATAGCTGGTATTTTAAAATTTGTTTTACATTTAAGTTTTATCTAAAATGGGAACCTTATTATTTAAAAAAAAATAATGCATACGCATGGCAATAAAAATTAAAAGTTGCTGAGTTAGCTAAATTTGGAAAATAATAACCTTTGGCCAGAAAAGCTTTCAGATATGCATCCCAATCTGGGAAAACTTTAGTGTTTACAGGCTGTGCATAGCTGGACAAAATATCAGGAATCTCTGCATGTATCTTGATGTATGCTGATTCCTACAAATATGTGAGTGGTTAACTTACATTCCTAATATTGCCATGTTTTGAACTTTTAGACACATACAGAACCATAACTTTTGAGATCAGTCTAAAATCAGTTGTCCTACATTTAAATTTTTAAAATTAGTTTATAACAATTTAATACCTGGGCCCACTTTTTACTCCACTTTTCGCCATATCTTTGCTCCTCTTTACGAGCCCACTTGTAACACCTCAGGTATTGAGCCACATCACAGTAAGCAATGCCTCGCCCATCAAATTCATCATCAAGTTTAAAGAGCCATCGCTGCACACCTAGATTTTCTGTCACAAGTTGTGCAAGGCACTCATGGAGCTGCAAAAATTAATTCAGTATACCATTTATTAAGGAGTAATAATTTTTTTTTAAAATAATAGTTTAAATAATAGTCAACTTAATTAAAAAACGAATAGTATCTTACTTTTAAAAAAAAATATAATTTATTTTTGAGTTTCATATGTTTACAAGTTTAACTTTTGCATTTGAATGTATTTTTGTTTTGTTTAATCTCGGTAAAGTCATGATTTTTTATATTTAATTTAACTTTTTACAACATTATCTGCACAGCCTTTGTAATCAAACTATAATCTAAAAAAATTGTAAAGTATGAACAAATATTTTACCTGTCCTAAACTATAAACATCATATTCAGCAGGTGGAATGTCAATGTTGGAACTGGCCAGTATCCTCTTACAACCAGACTTTGTGGAGTACAGGTGAGCCACATCAGGCTCAGGGCACAGGATGGGAACATCCAGCGCATCAGCTACAGCCAGATCATCCTTGTGGGGGATACCTGTCACCATGTAAGCATCCCGACCTTTGATCAGATTTTTTATTCTTTTCAAAGTGCGGGGACTGTATTTTAGTATTGTTGAAAGACACATTGAATGAGCCTGAAAGTTTACAAAAAAAACTCATTTCACTTAATATTAACATTCTTTTTGAAAATGTTTAATGTTTTAAACTAATTTGGTAGAATATTTTAATTACAACTTAAAACATTTTTGAAAGATTACCTTAAGAATTCTTTAAAGTAAACATTTAGTAATAAATATATGTACTGTTTTAAATTTGTATGAGTTATAGTATTTGTCTCCAGTTTTTTATATTTAATATGTAGATGATTTATAAAGTCATCTTACTTCTAGTCCAAACTATATGCTAAAACTATATACAATTAGATTGACACTAAAGTAAATAAAATATAGTTTTAGAATGTAAATATCAAATAAAACATAAAGCTGCAGAATTCAGCAACATGTTACAAATTTTTGAGAATTAAACAAATAGTATGCAAAACATATCATTAATATATATTATATTAAGTTATAAATTATATTTCAACTCTCACAGGGAAACTTTTAATTGCTTCTGGAACCAAAATTTTATATCTTTCTGACATGTCAGACTGGTCTTGTGGGTTGCTGCTGGCCACAGCTGAGCTAAGACCCAGTAGCTTGGAATAGTATTGCAGAGTCTCGTCACTCAAAGGCACAGCTGATATGTATATCACATCAACATTTGGATCTGTTGAATTACAACACAAAATTGTTGTTTTCTAATGCCTGCTTCATGAGAGATTATATCCAGTAAATTAATTCTGAAAACAACAATTTGTGCTAAAGGAAAATAAAGTCCAGAAAATTTTGATAAATCGTGAGTTTTTAGTATACTATAATATTGTAAAACATTTATAATATTGAATGGAAAAAGAAGATTGAAGGGATCATATGGGGGAAAAAGTCAGGTAACCTTTAAAAAAAATTTTTTTAACTTTTGTGATATTTAAGGCAACATTAAAATATGTTTATCTGTTAACACATTGTTGTTATAGGCTATGAAGGTAACCTAATATCTCAGAACTGATTTGCATTAAACCATTATGAAAAACTTTATTACAACACACACCTCTAATGTCACAAAGTCTTGCCATTTGTGTGTTTTGTTTCATGCCTAAATCTGGAATGGATTCTCTAATGGACTGGCTGAAGCCAAGTGAAGGTACATGAATAATCACACGACGAGAATTCTTTATTCTGTCCCATGAAGCTGCGAATTTCTAAAACAAAAAAAGTTTCATTTTTAAACAACTTAATTAACTTAAATATCAATATTTACAAGGGAAAAAAACATTTTTTTTTTTAAATTTTATTTTAATGTTGATAAAAAAAAAATTTCCTTCAGCATGTACTGATTATCATTCACCTTTGTATTTATTTATTTAGATTACATACGAATAAAATTTACTTTAGATCTGCGCTTGAAAGCCTCTAGTTGATCAAGTCTTGTTTGCCTTAACTGGTGTCTCATCTTGGCCATCTTGATTCTCATTATCCAAGAGATTGCAATCACACCTGCTGCCCACTTTAGCCTGCGGTATTCCAAGTATTGGGACCGCTCACGGTATCTGCGCCACAAGGATTGTATTTTTGTTGCTGCCATTACTCTACCATTGGCACCCATGTATTTTCTGCCCTGAAAAAAATAATTCAATGGTTCAAAATTAACAATATGGGGGAAAATGCCCATACCATAACACCAAAACATTACCACAACTACATGAACAAGATGAAATTATGAAATAAATGAACACATTCAAATTTCTGTACTTTATATTTTACATATAAAATATAACCCACAGAACTTAACCTTGTATGGATGTTTTCACAATATATCATTGTAATCGTCATAATAACAGTATTAAACTTTTGTGGGTACAATTTGGTCACAAAACTTGAATATTTACATGATAAAACTACTACACACAAGAACTCACTGGTTTGTTTATTATAGCCTCCACTTCCTCTCTGTTAATAACTTGAGTATTTAGATGATAAAACTACTGCACACAAGAAAACTTACTGGTTTGTTTATTATAGCCTCCACATCCTCTCTGTTAATGATTACACACAACATTTCTGCAATACCAGGTGACTTCTCAAGTTCATATTCCAAGGCAAGGTCAGCAAGCCTAAATGAAAAAAAGTGTTTCTAAAGCAATTAAAACAGAACAAATATTACACCTCACCTTTTATATTCAGATTGAATTTTTTAATTATAAATTGTAGATAATAATTTAGAAAATAATTAGGGGTCATCCATAAATGACGTCACGCTTTTTTTGACGATTTTTACCTCCCCCCCTCCCCTCCGTCACACGTCGTCACAAAAAGTCAGACCCCCCCCCCTAAAATGACGTCACACCTCAACCTACAACCCCCCTCAAAATTGCAGTTGAATTTTTTTAAAACATCGATATTTTTCCAAAATCTTGTCTAAACTATTACAATTTATTAAAACAGTTATCTAAAATGCGAAATAACGTCTAAAATTCGTTTTCTAACATTGCTTTTTTATAATGCAAAAATGTGACGTCGCAACATCTGAACCCCCCCCCCCTCCCCCTCATCACACATCGTCACAAAATTACGGACCCCCCCCTCCCCCCTACGAGTGTGACGTCATTTATGGATGACCCCTTACTACTCTTTATCTATTATTTCATTTACCGACAAAAATATTTAAAGTAATTTCTGTTGCTCAGCTTCTCTGCAAGGCAGTTTTAAAAGATTTATTGATTAAAGTTTTCTTTGCATTATATTAATTTTTTAGTCATTAATAAGAATTGTAATATCTTAAAGAGAGTTTAAAAAAGTTCTGCTTACTTATCTCCACTGATGAAAGCAATAGGCACAGAATATAAAGACAACATTTTCTCCAGGTTCTTGATCATAGAAACTATACTGGAAAATGAATACAAAATGACTGTGTAAATATTATATAACTAGCCTAAGGAATATCAATAAGCTATTGATCTCTTAATATACAACAGTTTTAAATTGTTGCTATAAAGTTAAAAATAATAAAATTGCAGCATTGTAAAGTAACAATGTACACAGTTTAACTGGTTTTTAAAAATTCAAGCAAACAAAAAATTATGAAAATAAACACAAGTATAATTCCACAAAACTTACATTTATTATAGCCTACTTACAGGTAAGTTTTTAATTTAACTTTTTTATTGATAATGACACAAAAATGTTCTTATATTAGTTAGCCAGTATATACTGCAAATATAAGTGTAATTAACAATAATCCTACACAGTTATGAGTAATCTGTGAGAGTGATATAAGTGAACAAACCTTCCCCATGATGAAGAGTAGTGCTCCTTGAATGCCAGGTATTCTGGCTGAGTGTCTCGAGTTTTACCATTCTGAATAGCAAATCTATGACTTGTTTGTTTGTAGTCTCCACTTGCCGGAGTTGTTGGTGGAGGCTAAGTATAGAATATATAGTATTATTACATATTATTATATAGATAACATTTTGTTGAAAAATTAGAAGTATATAATAAATGAGTAAATAAAAAATGTTAGGCCTGCATATAAATTATATAGATTTTTTTTTCTTATGAATATCTTTTAATTCTGCATAGAGAACACTCATAATTTAAAATATATATTTATGCTAAAAACCTTAATATTGGCAAATTAAAAAAATAATTAAAATTCATATGAACATTCTCAAGTATACTTGATGAAGAATATGAATTAAGTTGATATTCTTTATATATTGCCAAAAACTTTAAACATATCATATGGATAAAAAAATAATTTTAAAAACTTGTAGCACCAATATTTGCTCTTTTATTAAGGATCATGCACTTATTGTATAACACAAAAATATTTCCATACCCAATATCATATGGGATTTCCTTAAACCCCTACATCTCATATTGTATACTTCTAGGACACCCCCCCCCCCCATGAATGTTAACACAAAAGGTAATTTCAATAACATGTATGGTATGGATAACATTATTTCATGTTATATAATATGTGCATGACACTTCATAGAAAAAAATGTATGAATAACAGAAAAACCCAGTACGGTGTTAAAGCTTTTCTTCTTAAAGAAATGCTCTTAAACAGAACTAGTTTCTAAAACGTATAATAAAATGCAATAAAGAAATACAAATAAATTGAAAAAAGCAAATAATTAATAATAATTTTGATGAACATAAATTGGCTGCATACAAATAGAATGTATAGTAGACACTTTAACAAACCTTTTATGATCTTAAACTGCAACAGATAAAAATATAAACTAAAGGGTATTTTTAAAATATATGGTTGTTTTGTATTATTGGGGGAATAAAACTACCTCTTTACAACTCATTTTTCTTTATATAAAACTAAACAGAACTAAAAATAAAACTTCCTAAACTAACGTTTTCATAATAGAGAATCAGCAATTACTATAATACGTTGAATAGTATAAAAAATATAATACTTTATGAAATAAAAGTACATCATCATGCATGTTCTACTGGAGAGTAAGATGTAGGGGACTAAGAGAAATTGATGGTGCATCATTAGAAAGAAATATAATTTAAATTTGTATATAATTTCTGTTCATTGTTTGTAAAAAAAATTACACTGTATCGATTTCTATTCTTTGTCAAGTTTTTAATATATATTTTAACTTTTATCTTGTCTAATATTTAAATATAAATTTAGAAGGAGCTAGAAATGTAACCTGCCATTAATCTAATATTTTCTTCAAAACAATTTTGTTCCATAAATCACCAATGTAAATATTTACATGTAATATTTACCAATGATATAAATTACTGCAACTTTATTTAAAAAGGAAATACATGTGTGCATACATAATGAGTACAAATTTTAGGAAAAACATGCTTTTGGGAAGTTGAATAATTATAACATAAGAAGAGGTAGCACTATATAATAATAGAATGTTTATTATTTTAACCTGTTGAAGAAAAGGAAGCTGCAAAAAAAAATGGAATTATATTAAATCAAGAGCCTTTAATGGACTTTAAGATGGGATTTACATATTTTACTATAGCAAGAGCTTCTCAAAAACAATGTTTAACATTTATGAGACGGTGTATTTTTTAAGCTATTATCATCTACAATAATTACCAAATACATTTTCTTGTAAGATGAATAAAATAATCTATGCAATTAAAATGATGAATAACTTTTGTGATTACTAACATTTTTAAACAAGTGATGTAATCATAGTGATCTATCTGATTATTAAGCAGACGATTTTTTGTGAAAAAAACAATTGTACTTTAATCACTTCAGCATAGAATATAATACTTACAAAATCTGTCAACACAGGAAAATTTTATTGAAAAATAATTAATATGAGAGAATGATGATTAAGAGATATCTAATTGGTCAGTTAAATATAATGAATTATGAGCATCCTTGTTTTTGATAGATTCAAACTTTTTTTCCGTTTACCACAGGCATATAATGTACAAAAAAAATCAATAACTTTTTTCAACAGTACTAACTAAATAGAAATATTTCAAAAAGACGATGGTTTGGTATCTTTATTGACTGCAGATTATTGAACGGCTTTGAAAATATGATAATGCACAAATATATGGATAAAGAAAAGGTGGTCAGGACTGCTTATACTTACATAAGGCTGGAGAGGCATTTCATAAGTTTTGACTGATGCTGGTGTTTTTAAATATCTGTTGTTAGATGCAGAGGAAGATCGCCAGGTTTTCGCAGAAGTGTTTCTAGCTTCAGGTGACTTGTTTCCCTTAATCACAGGTATCTGTGGCAGTGGTGGTTGGGACTCCTCTGGCTTTGGCTCCATCTTCATTAAAGCCCAGCTACTAGGATTGGAGTCTTAAGTGTAATGGACATATTTTATTTAGATACAGATCAAAACGTTTGGTAAATTTATAACTTAATCATATGTACATTTTTAAAAATTAAAACAAGAAATAAAAACAAAAGTATGATGATGTTTACAAAGTAAAGTATGTTATCAAAGCTAAATTAGAGTTCGCGTGTTTCAGTGACCTCATCATATGAAGGGACAGTGTGGTCAGCACTATGCCCAGCCGTCTTTACTTTCCATAACGTGAGTCAGGTACCCATCAGGAATAACGGGATCACACTTCAACTTTTATTTCTTAATTTAAACACTAAAGAAGAATAACATATTGTTTTAATAGCCAGAGCTTAGATTTTGTTTACCATGAATGTGCTGAAGTTTAAGTTTGTCCTCAGAACTGTAGAGTTGTAAGGTTTTATTTTTAATGGGAGAAGGGTCAAGTGTGAGCAGGGCAGCTGGTGGAATAAGACCTCTCTCTAGCAGACTTAGAATTCCTTTTCTGGCATCTTCTTCTTCAATTGGAGGTGGGGCTAGCTTTAAATGATATAAAAATTGAACTGTTTGCTACTAAATTTATACTAATTTAAAAATAATTTTAATCAAATATTTACAACAAAACATTTTTTTATAAATCAAAATCTTAAAAATGTAATATGTTATTATTGTTTATTTACAATAGAGTTTAGAAATTATATTTATTTAGAAATTGTTAAAAAACAATATATTTAATATTCAGAATTATATTCTTAAACTGCTTCCATAAATGATTTTTTAAATTTTCTATGAATTATTAAGTTAAAACAGGAGCAAACTGCCATGTTGTAAAAAGACTATTGACACTAATAACTTCTATTAATAGAAATAAGTTTATAAACTAATAGTTAAAATTTATACTGCTGTAATAAATTTGAATTGACACACTTTTATTATAATGACATACTTACAGAAGCATCTACTCTATTGGCTTTAGGTAAAACAGTTAAATGTTCCACAGTAGAACCTAAAATAGGTTTCAATGGCGGCTGCAAAATTTACATTGCAATTTATTCATTGTAATAATTATAGATATATTATAGATATATTTTCAATTGGCATGTATTTTAATAACAATGTTTGTAAATATATATTTATGTTTAACTTTCGATTAAGAACAACAGATAACATCTTAGCAGTTATATTTTAATTTTACCCTTGTAACTCTTTTATCATTAATGAGTGGAAGCTGAATGCCATAGCTTTCCTTCATAACATTTCTGTTCATCTGATTCTGAGGATTTATAATGTTTCTCAAAGCCAGCTGTTGTTGATGCTGTAATAAGGAAATAAGGTAATAAATATTTACAATTTGCTACAATACATACTAAGCATGTACTAATTTTCTCCAACTATTTATTTTAAATTTTAGATAACAGATACATTATTTTTATTTACATTATGAATAATGCATTTTTAAACATTGATAGCTCAACTTCTAAGAAAAGCATGAGTATTCTTTTTTCCATCCAGTATATACTGGTGTCTAAAAGGATACGTAATGTAACAAACCTTCTGGCCTGGAGTCAAACCCTGCATCTGCATCATTTTCCTAAGTGGCAGCTTAACACCAGGTGGAAGGGGCTGTCTTTTTAGAAGGACTCTGTAATATAGATTCATATTTAATGAACAATTAAATATATTAAAATTAGTTTTACATACAGTGATAATTATATAAAGGTATCTTCCATGAGTAGCATGTAGCTCTGTGATTTATGTTTAAAAAAAAATTGTTTTAAAATAACTCCCATGTCTCTAAAAATCAATGAGAACTCCCTAAATGTGTGACATTTATGTGAACACATTTTTATATGTACATCATTACTGTCTTAAACAGAAAAAGGAAGGGGGAAAAAAGATTGGTGCTAAAAAATAAGTACGCTCCTGAAAACCACACCAAAAAAAAATACAACATGAAAGAAAATAGTTTATTGAAAACAAATAAATAAATATTTCACCTGTCTGGGGCATATGTTGGCCTTCTATATTCAACATTGTATAGCTCTTGAACACTCTCTGTTGGATAATACTGTTCATTTTCATCTACTCCATCTAGTGGTAACATCTGTACCCTGTTGTTTAGGTGATAGACTATTTCTTCTGTATGCCTCTGGTCAAATTTTTTAAAAATTACAATTTAAGAATGCAAGATACACATGTTTTTGATACAGTGAAATTTCGCGCATCAAAAGTTTTATTTATTAATTCGGTACAAACACCTTCAAGCTATCTAACCCAAACATTTCGGACTTCTACAGCCTACAGTCATCCTTTTATTGCTATGTGAAATATGGTCGTCCCCCCCCCCCCCCCCCCCCCACAGCTGGCAAATTTTCATAATACTACTTGGACAGCGGCTATCTTCGAGCGGGTATTACATCTTTTATTTTGACCACAAGGCACCATAAAATATATATCAATCTATTGGCCAAGCACTAGAGCACCTGCTGGTGTAGTGTCTTTTTTCTTTTTTTTCTACCAATAAGTTGGATAAACGTTGTTTTCTACAAAGGAAAATTTGATATCAAACTCCATATGAGGGCATGCACTTAGAAATAATGAATGGGAAACATTTTATTGATACGCTTGACCAACCATATTAGAGTACAGTAAATCAAAATAATTTACGATAGGTTGCAGCTAACCACGTGGGCTAGGTAACCATCTTGTTTCAAGATAAACAAAACAATCGCCTGTCTTCATTTGTTTACTTTATTTGCATATACTCTACTATTTTTTGGTCTAAAATTATATAACAACATTTAGGTTAATATTTGAAACTTTGCCAAGAAATGTACTGTTGATTGTCATTGGAACACTACTAAACTATTTAGATGGTTGGAGATGGTGTTTGGCCAGTGGACCGTTTGAAAAGAATCAAGTGATCAGATGTTAGCACTGGTTGCTTTTGGCATACAGACGAAAACTTTAGGACATTACTTTTGAAAAGTCTGCATTTGGTCTTGGTGGAAATTGTATTCAATCACCATGTTTTTTGTATGGCTTAGAAGGCTTGAATGGCTTTTGAGATGCATGACTTAATTTCAAGAGTGCAGTCACCTTGGTAATTATTGACAATGCTGGTTAATTATGCAAAATCATTTACTTCATCTACTTGTGTGTAATTTATTTCAATGAGCTCTTTGCTAATTGCATTTTTTTAAATAACTTTAGTTTTGTGAATATTTATTTTTAATCCTACCCCATCAGCAAAGGAAAAAAGTTTAGTTTTTCTTGCAAGTCTTTTTTTTTTACTACTACTAGTAGAGTTATACTGTCTGCAAAGCCTATGTCTTCTAGGCAAGCTGTTAGTGTCCATCTGATGCCTCTTGTTTTGGTTTGTATTTGCATAATGAGCCAGTATTTGCATAATGAGCCAGTCAATTGGTAGGTTAAAAAGAAATGGGGTCAAAACACATCTTGACTCCAGTCTGAACCATAAATGTTACTAGTGGGTCTAACTTAATTATGCATACAAAAATACAAATACAAACAGATTTGAAAATGCCAAAACATTAGCATGATAAACAGGATAATTTTTAAATTATACCTGCAAACCCTCTTCAGTTTTTGCTAGGGCTTTTTCAACTTCGGCAGCAGTAATATTTCCTTCCCCTGCTGCCATCTTTTCTCGCAACTGACGCAAGTCATCTTGAACCTAATCAACACATTGCACAATTTCTATTAAATTTTTAAACAGTACTTCTAGTATATTTATAGATTTATATGTAATATATGTCATATTATATCCCGATTCCATGTATGTTCATCCCTAACTGAAATACTCTCAAAGTAAAATTAAAATATTTTCGTGCTATCAGAATTTAAATTACAGTTTAATTTTTTATATAGGACTATTAATATTGTATATGTGTAGTACTGTGTAGAATTTGGTACATCTAGTCTACTTAGTACTTACTTTGACCAGAATATGCCCAACATCTTCTACTCGCGTCTGTATTTCGGTCATTTTAAAATTATATTTAGTATTATTTAGTTCTAGACACTCTAGATCTATTTAGTTTAGTTATCGATTACTAAAAACTGGCTCCATAAAATTTACAAATGAATATTAGACTATATAATATAGCGTAATATCAACACAGCTCATCAATTAAAAATTTAATGGTGCTGTAATAGTAATAGTCCAAAATAAATAAATAAGGCGGCCATTACGTTTCTGGGCAACTACTTAAACAGTAGAAAGTTGTGACGTAATACACATAAAAGTATAGTCTATTTGCCGAATGTTTTTAATATTTGCTAATATAAAGTAAAACATAATGGATCATAAGATCTTGCGTTTTTTTGTTATTAGCATTGATTTTTTTTTCAAGTTATTATTTTACTTGATTATTCTGTCTGTCGCTTTTTTTTTAAATTTTGCTTCGTCCTTATTGGTCGCAACTTCGAGCGCCATTTCAACCTCTACTACTGAACTGGTTTGTTTCAAACTTGAAACATGTTTCTAAGACTCGTGACAACGCAAGATCATCATAATATCACCGGCAGCTCCCACTACATTATGGCGCCCACACTCGTTTTAAATAGCACCCTGCACTACTGACACGGCGGGCTACTAAGTCAATGACTAAACCTGACCAGGAGTAGCACCCAGTGCCCCTGTGGTAGTAACCGGTGGCTCCCGAGAGCGCCCCCGACACCTGAGTGGCCAACAAATGGTGTCCTACCTCCAGTGGCGTAGCGAGGTCGGGTGTCACCCGGTGCGGCACTTAATGGTGTCAACACCCCCCCCCACCCAGAGGCGTAGCGACCCTTCCCGGGGACAAACTTCCAATTTTCGATTTCCACCCCCCCCCCCTCAAACTTTCGATTTGCACCACTTAAAAGACTATTTAACACTCGAATTAATTACTTAATTAAGTGGAATTATCATTTTTCTCTACATATTTTGCAAAATTTTTTGCCTTGGTGTCACCCCCTAAATGGTGTCACCTGGTGCGGTCCGCACCCCCGCCCCCCCCCCCCCTCTCTACGCCTCTGCCTACCTCACCCTTGCGGATGGCAAATAAAATATGGGCACTGAAGGTCTGGGTTTTTTCTTCTGATGCAACACGCATCTATTAATTGAACAATCACGATAAAGGTGGACAGAAAATTAAGTCACGCGTCTAAAAATGCATAATTGGTAAGAATTTATGTTATCATAACGAGTGTCCTTGAATTTCTTTTCTTTTGAGATCGCAGCAACGCCCGGGATGGTAACGCTGGTATAATGATTTTAAAAAAAAACTCGATAATAATAGATAGAAACAAATAGTATTCGAGCATTTTTGTTTTATATAATATAGATCTATCTATAATCAGGTCTAAAATGCTATGGATTTGTTTTCTTTATGTTTTAAAGTCCCTCTGCATTTTTCTTTCAGTTTTAGACTACTTGGTAATTTATAGAAATAGATATCTAGAATCTATTTATTATCTAGATATACACCTTGTAGACTTGTAGGCCTACATCTACAACACCCATCTAAAACAGGTCTGGCTAAAGGTCGGCAATCAACGATTACGTAGAGAAAAATTTTCATAAACAAAATGGCGCTCCCCTGTGCTCTGTTTTCTTCGTCTGCTGAAGATTTTAATACTGAGGATTTTGTTAAATGTGAATTTATTTTAAACAAATAGATCTAGAAATCTATATGTTATTCATTCCTTTCTCTGTCTTACTTTTAGTGATCTGATTTAAATCTAGATTTTAGATTATGTGAGGTGAATGCGAATAAAATAGTTAACTTAAAAAAAAAATGGTAATCTATGATGAATCGTTTTGGGTACGTAAAATCGCCCGCGACTAGTAATGTGAAAAACAGGTGACTCCTTGCATTTTAATATTATTTCACATTTTGAGGAGGATTTGTGTTTTGAAAAATACAAAAATGTTTCCTTGTTTCATTTATGTACCTGTTTTTTAACAATTGAATTAAAACTTTTCAGTAATAAATGAACACCAGCGATGTTTCCAACAGATGCAACCATGCTCATTTACTATAGCAGCCATCTTGTTAAAGTTTTATTTTTATAGACTTATAGCGCCAGATTCAGGCGGAAGTCACTCTATTTTACAAATGGCTGCTGTTTATATAGCAAATCTTGCTTGCAGACACTGCTGTTTAAAGTTAATTTCTGGCCTATATTGATATATTTAGCCATTGATTTAGGTTTATTATTCATTTATCTATAATATTTGACACAAACATATCACAATATACTTCTATTACAGCCTTGACAATGAGGTAACGTTTTCGTACATTAATAGCCGCGGGCGATTTTACGTACCCAAAACGATAGATTACCAAAAAAATAGTTAATAGGGCAAATAGTGGCCAAATAGGGGTAATCTCTCCCATCATTTTGGGTACGTAAAATCGCCCGCGACTTGTAATGAATGTAATGTGAAAAACAGGTGACTCCTTAAATTTTAATAATTATTTCACATGTTGATGAGGATTTATGTTTCAAAAAATTAAAAAATGTTTCCTTGTTTCATTTATGTACCTGTTTTTAAAAAATTGAATTAAAACTTTTCAGTAATAAATGAAGACTAGCGATGTTTCCAACAGATGCAACCATGCTCATTTACTATAGCAGCCATCTTGTTTAAGTTTTATTTTTATAAACTTATAGCTGTTTATATTGCAAATCTTGCTCGCAGACACAGCTGTTTAAAGTTAATTTCTGGCCCATATTGATATATTAAATTTAGTATTATTTAGCCATTGATTTAGGTTAATTAATTATTTATCTATAATATTTGACACAAACATATCACAATATACTTCTATTAAAGCCTTGACAATGAAGTAACGTTTTCGTACATTAATAGCCGCGGGCGATTTTACGTACCCAAAACGATAGATTACCAAAATAGGTAATCTATCGTTTAGAGTAGAGTGTAGAGTTTAGATTTTCTCACTAGGGCTAAATCTAAAGTTTACAATTTAAACATGATCACTGAATAATAGACATCCCTATTTAATCTATTAGGCACTAATTTTGAGTTTTTTAGCTCGTTTTTAACTTAATTACTTAATTTAATATTTACTGTCACTCACAGCTATGTTATGAAACACCTTTCCATGACAACACATGTTATATCACTCTTACGTTTGAAGCCACGGCAAACCTAACCACGAATTGATTAGACTTTTTAATTGACTATGCACCATAAAAAAAACAGCTGCTTTACGTTCTTGCTCATTTTTTTACCTACACCATTGATATTTTAAAAGTTCTGTTAATTTTAATGAAACCAACTTTTGCATTTAGCCTCCATTCTCCAAACCAAATTTTAAAATGCTTTTCTGGCATATATAGCCCTGTCACCTATGGTTTATTTTTACAACGTGAAAACCCCGCCGTTTTGCTCATGGTAAACATTTTAAACAGTAATTCTAAGGTCACTGGAACTTAGACGAAAAATCGTCGGAAGTCATGCATATGGTGGGGACGCCATATTGTTGTTAGCAACCGGACACATCTCAAGGCTAGCGAGCAATACTAATTACTAGAAAGGCTAGATCTATCATAACTGACAACTGTGAAACAATTAAAACTTAAAATACTAATACTGTCTAGATCTAGAATCTATGCAGGATAATAATATAAATTATAATGAGAATATAGTTTCAATATAGTTGAATAATTTAGAAACACTTAAGTATACACCTATAATTTATTTTTCAGACCTATAATATTCACATGTGAATGAAAGGCTCATTAAAGTACCTACCAGTTGGGTGAAGGTTCTATAATCATTGTTGCTTTTACTTTAGATAGAGCTTCCATTTTATTCCTTTTTGAATATTTCTTGACTACAGATATATTGCAAGTTACTGATCTGCCTCAGCCAAAAGTAATCAGCGATCAAATTTTGAGTTATGACTGGAAATTTGAAACTAAATATTACAGAACAACTATACAGCTGTGTACTACTGATAACAGAACGATTGGAGATAAAGATTTTGCTCAGTCTGTTGAAGCATTTATACATTTCTTTGATCCCAATGTAGTAAGTTTTTTATTTACGATTTGTTATAGTGATAGTTAAGTACTTAGGTAACAAAATCTACTTTTAAATATTTGACAACCACACTTATACTACTTAAAGTTTTCTTTGACAGATGGATTATTGGTGATTTAACACAAGATACAAATATTAGCAGAACAGCAATTATTACAGACTAGATAATTTTAATGAGTTACTGTATTGTCACCCACCATTACTAGTCTGTTGTCCTTATCTCAAATTACAAAGTTAATGCCCAAAGAAAATTTGTTAATAAAATATAAACTTTTTGATACATAATTTATATAAAGCTTTCACCTCTGCTTGTTTCAATATAAAATGTTTTCTGGGGTTATGGATGAAGTGTATTCATGCCACTTAAATCCAAATGGATAAAAAACTGTTTATAAAACATGAACAACTTAATTGACTCAAACTAGAGTTTTTATTTTTTGCCACATTTTAATTGAAACAATAATTATGAAATGTATATTTAAAAGATTATATTAAATCTTTCATCATACCTTTTTTTCAGTTAACGTCATTTGAACGTGCCAAAGCATGGCTACCTTATTTAAAGCATATTGAACCTGAAGTCCAAATGCTTGTATGTAGGACCAGCAAACATTCTGATGGTAATAATATGTTGGGTTGTCCTTATGATTTTTTCCTGTACCCCTGCAATCACATTATCACTAACACAAAATCTAAGAAATGCACACATATCAGCCACACACACACCCCCCCCCCCCCCCATCTCTCCTTCCATAGCAATTGCTTTCTTTTTATAACTGCTACTATAAATGCTGAATGGTGGTTGAAATTAAGTTTGAAATTATTTTTTAAAATGCCTTAGCGCCCAGTCACATCTTCTGTAAGCTAAATATAAGCTTATATTATATTTAAACCCTGTTTCCAGTGGTTGGAAGGAAAATAGCCCAAGAGTGGTGCATACAAAATGGGTTTGAACTCGTGGAGTTGGAACCAGAAATAGACAAAGCAGATGAAGGTGAGTTGATTTACTGTTTATTTATTAGCTTTCTGGGTCATTCATGCCAGTCTTTAAACAAAAATGGAAACCATACTATAGAATTTTATTATGTAAATAGCTGTTAATTCATTATCTTTCAGATGATGATTTTCCTGAAACAATTGGAATGGCTAGAATAGTTCAAGCTTTACATGCTCACACATGGCCAAATTTAGAGATGAAAAGTTGGTTGGTTTTACTGCTACTTATAACTATGGATAAATGCTTTTAATAGTACAGTAGATTTAAAAATAATTCTTTGCAATTATCCTGGCACTGAAATAGCACAATAATTAAAGCTTGTAATTATGTATGGTAATTTTGAGTGAATATTATTGTCTTTCTTGATCAGATAGCCCTACTGTACAAAGTCAGTATGTGAGACAAATGATGAAGGAACAACATATTGCAAATAAACAAATGAAAGAGCTGCAAGAAAAAGAACCGCAAAATATTGAGCACACAACTAATGATGATTCTGTCAAGGATCCATCTACAGAAAGAGGACCACTAAGCACAGAAAATGAAGATGTGCACAAATGCGCATCCTTGGATGAGCAAAAAAATCCCAAAGATAGTCCCATCTGCAGTAGCAGTGTTGCTGCATCCTCATTAGAGGATGAAGTCTTAAAGCTGGGAGACATTGATTGGAGGACTCTGCTTGGGAACGAACCAAAAGACAATGAAGGTTAGAATTATTTTGACCGGCAGTCAAAACATAAATTTAATGACCCTTAGGCTCCATTTTTCAAGGTAGTGCCAACTGTTGATACTAAGCTATCCACTTACTTAAGATCAACCTTCCATGGATTTTGCTATGCAAATTTAAAAAATGAAATTGAATGGCTTTATTTTTAGATGCACCGTTGACAGATGGTGATGTGGGTGTGGAGGATTTTGAACAATTATTTATGAAATTGAAAGTTATGAAAGGTAATTTATAAATTAATAATAATAATTGATGCAGTATTCCTTTGAAGTAAATTATTCATAAAAATAAAAAAAAAAACAGCTATAGATTTGTTGCCTGAAATTTTGAAAGCCTTGAAATATTTTTCAGATAAAGCAGAAAACCTAACACCTGAAGAAAGAAGAAAATATGCAGAAAAGGTTATAATTAATAATTTTTTTTATTAAACTTTATACTCTATGTGATTTGGAATGGGCCCTGTCAGTAGTATGGACAAAAGATTAAAAGTCAATTTTCGTTTGCTGTAGTAGAGATTGCAGCAGAAAAATTATATTTGAATCTATGTGAAAAAAAAAATGTGATCTACCCTCTCAAACTCCTGTGTTTTGTTTAATAACACTGTCCAATGCAGCGAAAAATTTAGATTTAGAAGATACTGGTTTAAAGTCAACATTTTGCCTGGCCATTTGAAAAAACATGTTTTTAATTTTTTTTAGGTTGCAGTTTCCTTCTGGAAAGCCATTGGTGGAGATGAGGATGAAATAGAGGGTTTGGATGGTGATTCAGATTGATATGTAATACCACCTAATTTGTTATACATTTACACAGCTACCTGTGCAATAATTTGTAAACTTTCAGTTGATACCAACACTGAAATTCAGTCAATGTGATTTTATAAAATATCATTCCTAGATACACAAAACATGAACATTTGTAATATATTATGTAAATCACTTTATTGTGTAAATAAAAATGTACATATAAATAATACAAACATTTGAGCATTTCATATTTTTAATATGACAAACTGTATACAAATACAATATTGTACAATGGTATGAATGAAGGGCTCAGTGGAAAAAGTACTGGTTACATTTTCTCAAAAATGAGTTAAGACCTGTAGTATTACATCCCCTAAACTACTGTAAATTTGGGCCATGGAAAATGTACTGAAGTGGCTTATTTCAATAACCATGCATCACTATTTTGGGAAAATTTAGAAAAATACTTAAAATTCGTTCTTAACTGTTACCAACCAATCAAAAAATTACTGCTAGCCAATAAAGATGCACCAAAAAGGCACACCCTTCATGTTACTTTCAACAACAAAGGCTAAAACAGTAGTTGAGGAAAGTGAAAAAACGGGGGGGGGGGGGGGAAATAAATCTATACCTAATGAATGATCAAAGCTGCCAAAAAAAAAGCTTCAGGTATGTTGTTTTTTGGGTAATCAAAATAAAACATTTTTAAAGAAAAAAATCTTGTGTTAAATTTAAATCTAGTCCTAGTCTGTTTAAATAGTGTAGGGCAAACATACTATTACATTAATTATACCTGTAACAGGTAAGTTATATAAGCTTTTTGGCCTGGTCAAACTAATTGCCAAATCAAACAATGATTCATGAAAAATTATTCATGTGGAACATCCATTCACTGAACATTTAGAAATTGACAGTAGACCTGTTGTCAGGGTTAAAGATTTTAAATCTAACCTGGATAAAGTTATTAAAGCACCAGAGGGTATTGCCAGTCTCTGAGGGATTTTAGTTGAAAGGCTGAAGCTCAATGACTGGCCCTTTTACCTCCACTTTAAGTTTATTAAAAAGGGGAAAATCACAACACCTTAAAATCAGCAACTCAAGATTGCCATTTGGCCATCAAACGACTTTCTCCCAATTAAAAAAGCAAAATTTGAAGACATTATGTCACTTTTGTCCCATGTCCATTTCCAGAGAGTGAAAGTTTATACACCTCCCTCAAACCTAGAAATGTCTACAGAAGAGGATGAGCCAGCAGTTGAGTTTGAATATACATTCTATTTCAATTTTTGTAGCTAATTATTGAGGTAAATACTGTCACCATCAACAAGATTGTAAATAATTATTACATCACATTTGTTATATAAATATTTTGTGTTTAGTAACTTTCAATTTTCAAACAAAAATTCATAAACATTTTGACATAATCATAAAGAGAATCTTGTCAGAAAAGTGTTTATTGTTAAAGAATATCACAATTTGCCATTAGATGTTACTTTAAAGGTAGTCTTTTCATAACATGATTTTCCATTAGGTAATTTTCAAATGGCAACTAGATCTATAACGAACAGCTTGGTATCTGTAGATTTTTCCATCTAATGTAACCTACACTAATGGGTAGATAACAGGAACACTGGCAACAAAAATTGTATCTACTTATTCATAATAAGTAGATAATAAACATAATACCCCAGTTGCTTGAATTATAAATAGGTAGTGTGTGAAAAGGAGACTGACAAAAACATGGGTGCAAAACATTGCTGGTAAATCTAAAAATTCTTAAGTGCAAAACCTATATATCACAAAATCATTATTTTCCAAAACAAGTATAAAACTTGGTTCAGAAAAAAAAAATGTTTCAGGTAAGTAAAAGGTATTTCAGCTTCAATTTAAAAACTTCGACATCTCAAAATACACTTAAGTACTTTTTCCACTGAGCCCTTCAAATAGTTCTAGACTTGCATAATGACATCACCTACTTAGTTATTACCATGACAGAGCAATAACTGCTGGCATAGCAGAAAGCCTAATTTATTAGGCATACTATTAATTACTAAATGTTTATCTGCGAAAAAGGATTATTTAAAATTGTGGAAAAAAATGCTTATGGAGCAATGTTAAATAATATTTGGTCATAAAAACAATATATTTAACATGATAGGTATATAAACTTAAATGCATTCAAACAGCAGAAATTATGAAATGGTAAAATTCTGAAGAAAAATTTCAGTTGATGAAAAAAATGGCTTCCTTAACATGCAAGAATGCTAAAACTAAATGCAAATTTCTTATGAGAACATTTGGAAAATTGTTAGAGATCTATTGCTTCTGTCACATGGTCAAGCCAGTGTTGCAAGAGGTTTTTCTGGAGGGTTGTCATTTGATCCCAAAGACACTTGCAAAAAGGATTATATTGAACTCTTTCAGACAATCTCCTGACTTAGAATTTTAGTGCTCAAATGAAATATTTATATTAGGACAGTGAGAAGGGAAAGGCTGAGCAGGCCAAACAAGGACTCAACAGAAAAGCTGAGCTACGTTCACCATGGCATTAGGTATTGCTGAATCAATGAAACAAGCCCTCAGCAAGTCTTCAAGGGGACTATTTCTCCTTAAACATTGACGATGCCACAAATAATGCTGGTAACACATTTTTTTATGTACTTGTCCAGTACTTTAATGAAGCTCAAGGAAAAATTGTTATAGATTTCTTTGGATCCAAGCAGGTTAATATCTCCAGCTTGGAAAATATTTTTCACGCCTTGCAAAGTATGGAGGACAGACACCTCTTTTGGTCAAAAGTTGTTTCGTGTACAATGGACAACTGTAATGTCATGAGGCGTTAATAATGGTGTTGAGGCGAAGGTGTGGAGAGAAAATTCACATCTGTTGAATGATAGTGGTGACACTGACAATGATAAACAATGCAGCAATAGCATCTTTTGCATGACAGGGAAAAGTTACAGATTACCAATTTTTTGTTGCCAACATCATATACAATGATATAGAATACCTGCCTAAAGCTAGGGAATATTTCAATGTAATGAAGGACATTTTATATTTGAAAGTCAGGACAGTTTTTAGGCCCATTTCTAGCACATTTTCACAAATGAAAGATGTATGCGACAAACTTTTTTTTTTACTTTGAAATTCCTTGATTTATTTTTATATTTTTTAAATAAAAAAAATGGACTAGCTAGGCATTTTTTTCAAAATTCAATCTATCAAATGACCAGAAGTTAAGGCTAGAGAAACAAAAATGTTAAACAAGCAGTCAAGAACAAAAGCTGTATCAGATAGAAAAGATAGTTTTACTTCATCTGTTTAAAAAAACCAACAGAACACAACCATGAATCTACAGGAGGATTTTGAATAATTTCATAAGTTAACTAGGGTAACAAGGGAAGCGACTGGTCGAGTGACAGTGGGTGGTCATGAATGTAGATGGCAGTTGGAGGAGGACAAGAAGATTGAGATTAAACAGACTTCTTGTACCCTAACCTCAATGATTTATGCAGTTTGCATGTCCTTGTACCTGTGTCATACGCTATCAGTCTCCATGTATTAATGTATGAGTACCCTGACCCAAAAGTATTCCAAGCCCAGACCTTTGAAGTCTAATTTAATATCTGATGTTGAGATTTTAAGTGAGGGACAGGAAGCTAGGTCTTCGTGAATCTTACAAGTTGAGTCAACTTGACTTTTCCATATTACATTTTAGTGAAACAACCCTAACTAAAATAGTTAATTTTTATAATTCTACTAAGGGTAGTGTTGATGGACCATGCTGTATCTACAAATCAACAAACAAAAAGGTGGCCCATGGTTATGTTTTTCAACATGATAGATATAGCATCAATTGCAGCCAATGTAATTTACAAGATGAAATTCCCTACGAACAGGTTATCACAAAGTGACAATTGTCAATTTTTTTTCAACTTGATATTGCCAGGGTTAGTTCTTAGGGTTCCCTAAAATTTCAGTTTGTCCTGGAATTCTGGATTTTTAAAAAGATTTTTTTTTGTATTCAACCCAGACCACTGCGATATCAAGAGTCAAATCCTGCAGTGGCAGTGCAGCATCAGTGCATCTTATTCAAGCATATTTTCTACCTTTTGCTGCAGCAGTGATCGACTCGACACCTTTTTCTGCCAATTTTATGGGGCACAACCAAGAATATTCTCTGCTCTGTTCACTAGTAAGCACACTACTGATGCTGTCACATGGCCAGGCTACAGTGGAGCGAGGCTTCAGTGTCAACAAGGAAGTTAAGTTGGTCAATATGCATGAAAAACCTGTGGTGGCCAAGAGATTGATTTGTGACCAAGTTGCCAGTGTAGGGGGATTATCAAATGTCAGCATCAGTGGTTGGCTGCTCACGGCAGCTGCAGGTGCCAGGACAAAATATCGTTTGTTTTTGGAAGAAAAGGCAGAACAGGAAAGAAAACAGTCAATGAAATGAAAGAGGGATGACAGCCTACAGGAGCTGGATGGATTAAAAAGTTAAAAAAAAAAAAGCCCGGTTGGAGAAGGACATAAACAGCTTGACAGAATGAGCAGATAAATTGGCTGAGAAGGCTGAGAACACAAGCATCAACAAGTATCTGATTGAATCAAATGCCCTGCGCCGGGCTGCAAAAAACAAGCATGAGCAGCTAGCAACTCTTGCCAAGTGACAGAAATCAGTGGCTTATAATGTGTAAACATTCAGTATGTAAATATGTATATAACACGGTAAATATGTAAATAAATCTGTACATAATAAGCTCTCAAATATTTCCAAAGTCTTTATATGGTGAGTATGCTAAATATTTTAAACAATTTTCCCTTGTTTTATGCATTTTTTATCTCATGAAATTTTTGGATTCCTCCTGGAATTTCAAAAATCACTTTGGTGTAGGAAGTTTGACAGGAAAACTTCCACCAGGTGTCGAAAGTGTGCAACTTATATCTGCAAAGATCACACTGTTTCAATGTGCACAGCATGTGCTGACTAATTCTACTATTATTCTATTTAATATTGTTACGATCCTATCGGGTCTTGTTTGACCAAGGCTGATTACCAGGGTGTCATACTGCTCATCGGGCCAGGCTGTATTAAGAGATGACACGTACTGGCGCGGGAGGTCGGAGAGGGGAAGCTACAGTCAGCAAGTACTGTGATTTATGGCTGGAAAACCCTGGCAGGAGATGACGTGATGTAGATCTCGCACCTGCCTAGGCGGAAAGTTCCTACAGGGAACTCTAGTAGTTTAGGAGGGGTTTGACGACACAGGAGACAGCTAGGGTGAGGAGACTAAGGGGACCTCTGTGAGCTGGTGGCAAGGCCAGGGGATGTCTGTAGTAGAATTAGGCTAGGATTAACCGTTAGGGACAAAGTAGAGTAGTCTGACTATGGACTTTTTCTTGTTTAGATGTAGATAGATATATTTTTTTAAATTGTTTCAAAAGGTGACGGGTTAGTGTTATTGTGGCAATAAATATAAATAGTGACTAATTGTGTTTATTTTTTTTATTAATTCTTGTTCACCACTCCCTGCTGTGACCTACTTAGGTCTTTTCTTTCTTTGTATAATTTAGTTTCTTGAGTTATG